GTCGCTGGGGAGGCCCGGGAGGTTTCGGGGAGCCCTGGGGAGGGCCTGGGCGGCAGCCGGGGTTCAGACTGCCCCGTGCGGGCCCCAGCCGTGCTCAGGCTGCGTTGCTCTTTGCCTCCGCAGGTTCCCGACCGATGGGTTCCTGCTTCTGGCGCTGCTGCTCTACGCGCCCGTGGGGCTCTGCCTGCTCATCCTGCGCCTCTTCATCGGCGTTCACGTCTTCCTGGTCAGCTGTGCCCTGCCCGACAGCGTGCTGCGGCGGTGCGTGTGCTGGCTCTCCCCACAGCACAGGGATTTTCTGGGACGAGATTGTGGGCTGCAGGCGCTGCTGTGGGACGGGAGGGCTCCCCTCAGCCCTTTGGGGTCCTTGGCCACAGAGGCTTGGCTCGTGCTGGGGTTTACGGGAAGCTACCGGGGCTGTTTGTTCCCAGGGCCCACGAAGGCGCCTTCTCTGCCAACACCAGGGCTGGCAGTGCTCGAGGACTGATCTGAAACCCTAGGATCAGCTGAGTACCCTGCTGGGAATTGCTGTGCGTGGCTTCACGCTGCAGCCACAGCTCTGCAGGCAGCCTTCGGCCCCAGCACCAGCGATTCCTGACCCAGACTTGTTGCCAAATTGCTTCCACTCTGTACCAGCACCCTTTTGAAAGTCGCCTGAGCGCGCGGGTCTCTGCTCTGTTTGTGAGCCAGCGATGGCTCAGACTGCAGCACCTGAGAAAACTGCTCTCCCCCCAGGTTTATTGTGCGCGTGATGTGCTCGGTGCTGGGCTTGTTTGTGCGGCAAAGCGACCCCCGTCTCCGCGATGCCGACGTGAGGGTGTACATCGCCAACCACGTGACGCAGTTCGATCACAACGTCGTCAACCTCCTGACCTCCTGCAACACCGTGAGTAGCCTGGAGCTGAGCGGGGCAGGTCTGGAGGTGCCTCTCCCCACGAGAAGCGCCCAGGGAGCTTGGTCAGTGTTTAGGTGTAGCCCTGAACCTCTCCGGTTCTTATTTATTAACCCAGGATTGCACAAGCCCCGAGTGTTTTCCGTGGCTCAGAGTCACGCTCTAGACTGCGTGAAAAAATGAAACGGGGCGAGGAGGAGCAGGAAATGCTATGGAGGGCACTGGCTTTATTGGGAGAGGACAGACAAATCCCAGTGCGTGTCTCCCTTCCTGGCCTTTCACGCAGCAGTGTCAGGAGCGGGGTCGGTTGTGGGGTTTTCCCACAGCATCGAGTGCCACTTCTGAGCGAGTGGAGAGCCAGGGGAGCTGTGGGGCAGGGGTGGCTGTGCTGGGCCGGGGGTTGTGCAACTTTCCCTGCGCTCTTGTGAAATCCCTCACGTGTTGAGTTCCTGGCCCAGGGGGAGCTCCCAGTGCGCCTGGTGAGCTGGTTGGTCCCGCACCCTGGGCCGCAGCAGACTTGCTCTGTGCCTTCATGGACGCGCTGCGTCCTTTGCCAGGAGCTCCTGGACAGAGCGCAAGGCAGCACAGGGCAGGAGGGAGCCGTTTCTCGGGCAGATGGGGTACATCTGAGCAGGAGATGAGCCCCAGGGAACCAGGACCAGAGCAGGTCCTGAGGCCCAGCAGTGGTGTGTTACACAGGAGCGTCGTCAGCTGGGAAGGCAGCCCTGGAGGGGAGCTCGGGACACCGTTTTCTCACTGCTGTTTTCCCCGTCAGCCCGCGCTGAACGGAGCCCCTGGCTTCATCTGCTGGTCACGGGGCTTCATGGAGCTGGGAGTGAGCGGCAGCCGGGCGGAGCTGGTGGACTCGCTGAAGGTGTACTCGTCCCACGGAGGGAACCCCCCGCTGCTGCTGTTCCCAGAGGAGGCTGCCACCAACGGCCGTGCCGGTTTGCTCCGCTTCAGGTACAGATACAGGCGCTCTGCCGGCGGGCTGCGGCTGTGCCGGCCGTGGGGAATTGACTGCTGGATTTTCCTTTGCAGCTCTTGGCCGTTCTCAATCCTGGATGTGGTGCAGCCAGTGGCCCTACAGGTTCAGAGGCCTTTGATCGCTGTGGTGAGTCAGGGACGCGGGGCAAGGAGGAGCCGTGGCGGCGAGCGCTGTGGGTCCTGGTGATGCCGCTGGCCCTGCTCCGCTCTGAGGTTGTGGTGGCACAGCCCGGCCTCGTGTCCTGCCACGCCAGGGGCTGGTTTTGGGTGCTGACCCTGCTCTTTGCCAGGCACCTTTCCCAGGGAGCTTCTGCCAGGCCCATGGGTGCTCTTGGTTACGCTGGTGACTCTGTTGAACGTTTTGGAGGCTCAGCTGTGTTACGCTCGGCCTCCTCGGCCATGGCATCGCTGCATCTCATTCCCTCTTTTAACGAGAGCCCTCTGAAAGCACAGCTCCAGGGGTTACGCAAGGCTCTCTGGGTCGCGCTCTTGAACGCGCGTCTCCCAAACGCAGATTTGTGATGTGATGCAACCTGAGCTTCAGAGAAGTGGCAAAGTTCACAGTGGTAGCGGTGCTGCTGAACAGACTGCAGTAAAACTCTTAGCTTATTTACAGCGTGAGATTTTACTGAATTTCTTAGTTCTTGGCACGGTTTGTGCGTCTGCTTGATTAAAAGGCGTATTTTATATTTGTCAGGTGCTTTGGTGGATTCTCTCTTGTCCATCCTTTAAGGAGCAGGATGGATTTAAAGCCATGACCAGCAGGTCTCCAAGCACCACTGCCCATACTGAAGCATTGCCATGCCTGTATTGTTGCAGTGAGAGTCTGTTAGGGATTAGCTCTTTGCCCAGTGCTGTTCCTGGTGCTGAGATCCCTGCTGGTGAGGTTTGGGTCAGCGGGTAACCAAGAAGCCGGGCTATGGGCCGGTGCAGTGAGCGGCTGTCACCTGTGTCTGACCAGGGGTGCGTGACCAGAGGAGACTCTGACGTGGTGAGGAGCACGGCAGCGTGTGTGCAGCAGTGGAAACTGCTGAAATATTACATGGACGTTACATAAATACACTGCTTTGGTAACGCCAAGGAGAGTGGGGCAGGAGTGGAGCGTGAGGAGGCCGTGAGCGCGATGCAGAGCCCAGAGCAGCGCTCAGAGACACTCGGCTCAATCAGAGAAGAGTCAGAGGTTGTGGGGAGCTGCTCGCACCTTGAGAACAGGAGATGCGAGACACTGAGTGGTTCTGTTGCTGCTTTGCAGAAAGCCTGCTTGGATGCTGGTGTGATTTGTACCAGACACCACCAGATGTGTGCTTAGGAAGGGATTTCCTCCAGCCCCGTTGGCTGTGACCCTGAGGGAGCTGTTCTGGGGATGGGGCAGCGTCCCTGAGCTCTGGCTGTTGGCATCACTGTTGGGCGTTGGATTTTGGGTTCCTTGGGTCTGTTCATCCAGGAGATGAGGCTGCTTTGTGTCGCCCCTGGGGCTGTGGTTTCGGGGAATCTCTCCTGTATCATGGGGCTCTGGGGGCCGTGTGGCTTTGGCCAAGGATGCAGGCAGACGCACTGTGAGGTGCTGAGGTTCTCACCTGCGTGTGGGGACTTGGGGCACTGCAGGATGGAAGTACCCAGCTACACAAATCCTGGGGACAGCGTCCATGAAGCAGCAAACTCTTCAGAGTTGCT